CAACCCCCTGCCACAGGCAGGGACACCTTCTACTAAACCACCTTGCTCAAAGCCCCGTCCAATCCGGCCTTGAACACTTCCAGTGATGGGGCAGACAGCTTCTCTGGGCAAACTCTTCTGATGTCTCACCATGCTCACAGTAAAAAGCTTGTTCCTTGTGTCTAATCTAAATCTCCCCTCTTTCGTCTTAAAGCCATTCCCCCTTGTCCTCCACTAGTTGGTAAAAAGTCCCTCCTCAGCTTTCTCACAGGTCCCCCTTTAGGTACTAGGAGGCTGCTTTAAGATCCCCCTGGACTGTTCAACTCAGGTTGAACAAGGCCAACTCTCTCTGCCCATCTTCATTAGGGAGATGCTCCAGCCCTCTGACCATCTTCATGGCCCTTTTCTGGGCTCAATCCAAGAGGTCCATGTTGGGGGCCCCAGATGTTATGCTTGCTCCTCTTCTCCATACATGAAAGGCTATAACCCAGGCCTGAATGTAATTCTAAATCCATAATAATGGGTGGCTAGAAAGCAGACTTTAGCCTACCAAGCTACGCTATGTCGCATCAGGAACAGGAAGTAACCAAACTCCGATACCGTTAATCTGATAATTCCAGCTGGCTACTGCTTGTGCTGGGTTTGCATGACAAGGTTTTGGTAGCAGAAGGGATACAGTGCATGGCCTCTGTGAGAAGCTACCAGAAGTTTCCACCATGTCCAAAAAGAGCCATTGCCAGCCAGCTCCAAGACAAACCCGCTGCTGGCCAAGGCCAAACCCATAGTGATGGTGTTTGTGCCCCTGGGATAACACACTTAAGAAGGAGAAAAAGTTACTGCACAGGAGAAAATTCAGCCAAAGGAGTGAGAATATGACAGAATCAGCTCTGCAGGCACCAACATGAATGCAGAAGGAGGGGAGGAGGTGCTCCAGGCACTGGAGTGGAGATTCCCCTGCAGCCCACAATGAAGCCCCTGGTGAGGCAGGCTGTCCTCCTGCAGCCCATGGAGGTCCATGGTGGAGTAGATTCCACCTGCAGCCCATGGAGAAGCCCATGCTGGAGCAGGGAAAGCTTGTACTGGAGCAGGCTCCTGCAGGACCTGTGACCCCATGGAGAGAGGAGTCCACACTGCAGCAGTTTGTGAAGAACTGCAGCCCATGAGAAGGATTCACGTTGGAGAGTTAATGGAAGACTGTCTTCCATGGGAGGACCCCCATGCTGCAGCAGAGGGAAAGTGTGAGGAGTCCTCCCATGAGGATGAAGGAGTGGCAGAGACAGCATGTGATGAACTGACTGCAACCCCCATTCCCCTGTCCTTCTGTGCTGTTGGTGGGGAGGAGGTAGAAAATTCAGAAGTAAAGTTAAGCCCAAGAAGAAAGGAGTGGTCGGAGAGAAGGTGTTTTTAAAATCTGGTTTTATTTCTCATTAACCTACTCTGATTTGACTGGTAATAAACTTATTTAAACCACGACACCAAGTTAAGTCTGTTTTGCCTGTGACGGTTATTGGTGAATAACTGTCTTTATCTCGATCCACAAGGCTTTTGTTATATTTTGTCTCCCCTGTCCAGTTAGGGAGTGGGAGTGATAGAGCAGCTTTTGTAGGCATCTGGCAACCAGCAAAGGTCAACCCACCACACTGGTTTATCTATAGCTCCTCTCTGAGCTTCAACTTACTATGACTGAGCATTTAAGATCTGAGTCCCTGCGCAACCTGGTCTAGAGGAAGGTGTCCCTGCCAATGGAGGGGCTTTGGAACTAGATGATCTTTAAGATCCCTTCCAACCCAAACCATTATATGATTCTGTAATTCTGTAATCTATATTCACTTGTTCTGTTCCTAGTGCCATCTTGCAGTCTTGACCAACAAAACAAATTATCCATACAGCCAGCTGAACAAGTAGCTGACATAAACACTATGATAAAGCTAAGGTTCAGAGTTAATAACCTCTGAAATTTAGGGAAATGTGGATTATCATCTGGGGCGTACTTAATGAGAGGAAAGAAATGGAGAAACAGATCAGTCATTTGGGTGTAAATATGAATCACTTTGTGGTTTACCATCTGATTACAATAGAGTTCTAAATGTTCTCATTGAATGCTATTTGCTTTCATCTCTAGAACTTCTCCAGCTTCCATGCTGACTTATGTAATATACTTTACATAAAATGTATATTCATAAAATATACTGTATATTCCTCAGCTGAGTACCACAAACAGCTCTCCTGGAATATACTATGTAAACCAAACACTCATAAACAAATTCCAAGATTCAGTAACTAACAACACAATGTGTCAGGGTTTACCCTGTCCTGGCTTTTTCCTTCTTCAGCTCCTCCTAAATGGAGGCTCTCCCAGCACTGTTGTAGCCAGTTGTCCAAAACAAGTAGAGAGGCAGTGTACTTTGTTGCAAGAGCGTTTCACCTCAACTAGCCTATCCTAGAGTAATGCTGTAGTAAAGACTGATCATTAGAGGAAAGACAGATGGAACTTTCATCACATTTTGCAAGCAATCAAATATATAGTCTTTAAGATTAGAAAATGGATGCCAAGTTCAGTGTCAGACTCAAAACTCTTCAAAAAGAAAAACCCTGGAAGAACTGGATAACAACTGCCAGTAGACCACTACATCCATTTCCTCTGCAGATACTGCTTCTCTGAGAGAAGCAGCAATAACACTGCAAACAACAACTGAACTCCACCTGCAGTGCAACCTGAAGCTACTGTAGTCAATATTCAACATTGCTAGTGCAGTGCACAAATGCAGCAGGATAAAATTTTTGAACTATAAAGCATTCTGCAGCCTTTCAAGGTAGTATTACATAGGACAGTGTAGAACAGTAGTCAAAGATAAGCCAAATCCCTAAAATTAAAAAAGAAAAAAAGTTTAGCCGTGATTTACAGGAGACCGACCTTCTTTCAGCAGCTCAGCAGCTCTGAGTGTTCTGACCTACTGAGCTAGTGAAGAGGGGAAAGAAAGAATGACACATTACCACTCCCTGTGATCAAACTGCTACTATTACATCCTTTCCCTCATCACACCTTGAACTGGTGCATCTGATCATTCCGGGGTAGACAAGGCAGCGATGCAAAACTGTGATAATTCAGCATAGTCTGTAACTAAACTATGACATTAATCACCTAATCTTTGTTAGCCTAACTAAATTTCTCAAATAGCAGAATCAGGTCTAGTCATCAATATAAAGACTCCTCTGTTCCCCTTAACACTAGAATCTGTACATGACAATATGCCAAAAGAAAAATTACTTTATCACACACTATCTAACCTCCATAACAGGAAGCACCTTCTTCAACAAGCTTCTTCCCTGTGTTCAGCAATCTCCATATGAACTGGCAGGTACAGACAGAAAAGAAATCAGAAAGGAAATAGACACAGTCCCATATCACAGGCAATGCCTGCAGTGAACCTTGGCTGCATTCAACAGGTTTAAAAAAAAATTATTTTTGTGCATGGTACTGTGCAGTTGTTTCTACATGATGCAAAATATTTAAAAAGAGAATGAAAACAGCCATCTGCGTATTAAAGTGATTGATTTAGTTACAGAAATTATGTCAGAATTCAGTTTCTCTTTGAAGACTTTTCTGACAGATCAACTCTCTAGGATATTTTTGTCTGTGTTTAGGCCAGACAGGAAAATACTCTTCTATTGGGGATCATGCAGTGACTCACTCAACAAATAGCACTGGTGCTGCTTAGAGTCCCATTTAAGCAGCCTGTTCAACTTGCAGAACCAGTCCTATTTTCTACCAGTCCTCTTGTCTCAGTTATTTCTGACAACCCAGTCAGGTTCAGCTAAAGGGATACTGACATAACAGCAATAGCAAGAGATAAGTTTCTTCTAGGATGCTCATCTTGTGTTTTGTTTTACTCATCCCTTTCCATTTAAGCCTGTAAGATAAAACATCCCACTTTCCTGTTGTTACTGGTCAGGCATGCCACTTGGCCTTCATCCTCTCCAGCACTGCTATTTTGTTACCACAACTACAAGCACAGAAAATGTCCCAAGAATATATTGTAAAACATTTCCTTTTCCATGCTTAGAAACAACAGCAATGGTCTTTTTAAACAAGTGTGACCATATCAAACCATGATGCTGTAGGTAGCAAAAGCACTGATAAAACATCTAACGACGCTTTTCTATGTAACTACTCGGAAAAGCCCCGTAAGATTTTTTAAAGCCTTAAAGCCAACATGAATCTTTTTTTGAAGTTGTCTCAAAAGAATGAGAAGTGCAACCTGGTATTTACGTGGATGATGGGATGTCCTGCTCAAACTATGACATGGCGGAGCTGTTCAAAATAAATTCTCAAAACCAGGTGTTTGAAATAAAACCACATAGTCGCAAGCTCTGAGAAGACCAAATACCTTCCAAGAAGTCCCATGGATGACAACACTGCAGGGAACATTTACTTACTGCACTAAAGTAAATGCTTTATTTCAGTCCTTCTCTTAATAATTCTTTGGCTTAACAAGGGCCTGTCATGTCATGAATATGGGTCAAGTATCACACAAAATGCATTTGTTTACACAGCTGCCTCAGACCGGGGTCAGGTGACAGCTGGCTTAAATGGCTTGTTATGTATTACGCCCTTGACGCTGCAGTGAACCTTTTGGGCAGACCGTGATGAGAGGTTTCTCCACTGTCAAAATGAAGATGCTCCTCGCCTTGCACTGCTGCATGGCTTTGTTTGTGGTCCTGAGGCTCCTCAACATCTTCTGGCCGAAGGCCGCACCGGAGCAGGCCATCGACTCAAGGGCACCCTGCACCCAGCAGGCCGCACAGGCTCCTACCTACGGTTTCGACATCAAACCCCTTCCGCCGCTCCGCCCCGCAGCTGCTCCGCGGGGTCGCTCCGCCCTGCTGCCGCTCGGCGGAGTCACGCTGCTCGCGCCGCTCCCGTGCCTGCGGGCAGCGAGCTACGCGACCCGGCCGGCGCCCTGCCGCGAGGGGTTCAGAGCGGAGCGCGGACCGCCCCGTGACGGTCCGCCCGCGCCTACCTTGCGCCGGGCGCTGGTGTCGTACTTGTCGTTCCTGAAGGCGTGCGTGTTCTGGTACCGCTGGGGCCGCGTGCGCGACACGTTCCCCCTTTCCGAGCTCATTCTCCTAGCAACCGCCACTGCCCGCACCTCCTGCCCCGGAACCGCTCCGCACCTCCCCCGGCCCTTCCGCCTCCCCATTGGCCCGCAGCCTCGTCTCTCTAACCCCTCCACCCACCACTGTTCGCTGCCTCCCGGCTGCTTCCCTCCCACCCGCCCCTAGGCGGAGCCTCAGCGGCAGGCACGGCGCTGCGGGCTGCGCTCCCATTGGTGCACTGCGACCGGCTCCCGCCCGTCGCCCCCTTGGCCGCTTAGGTAGCCGCTCGGTCCGATGCAGTCTCTCGGAGAGGTGAGGCGGGTGCAGGGCTTGTAGGCCGCGCGGAGAGGAGCTTCCCGGGGGACGCGTGTTCACTACCGCGGAGCGCGGCTGCAGAGCTGCGGGAGCCGGTCGGGGAGCTGATAGCTGCCTGCCGTTACTCAGCACAACCGGCACCCATCCCCCCGCTGGCCGGGGCTTGAGCAGCGGAGGTTGGGGAAGCGTGGGGCCGCCGCCTCCCACAGGAGCGCCAGGTGCAGGTACGGGCTGTGCCCCCTCCTCCCACCTCCGGCAGCAGCGGCACCAGGACCGGGGTCTGCGCGGATTGGCACCTTGCCGTAAAGGGGTGGTGGGGAACAACCAGCGGGGGCCCAGCTCGGCGCTGGTGGTGGTGTTGCGGTTCGAGGATCCGCTCCCGAGGTGTGGCGGCGAGCCGGCCCCTCGGCAGGTCCGGCCGCTTCTCTGCTCTCCTCTCCTGTTCGCAGTACTTCGCCGCTGTCTGAGGCAGGCGTGCGGCGGCTCCCCTGTGGAGCTGTGGCATGGGGCAGGAGGAAGGGCCGCGGTAGTCAACGGCTTCCCCTCAGGGAGGGAGGCAGGCGGCGGTACGGGTCTCGGGCCCGAACCGGACGTGGGGGTTGGGCCTCGGGGCAGGCTCGGGGGCCTCTGCCCTGCCGGCCTCGGTGCTCCCAGCGAGGGGGTGTCGCCTGCTCAGAGGGTCGGGGGTGAGCGGCCTGACCCGGGGCTCCCGGCTCCGTGGTATTGCCGTGGCCGCCTTTGTTGGGGAAACAGGCGCGCTGACTTCTTAAACGCATGTTAAATACTGGCGTTTAGCGGGTTTAAATAGTGCCTCCTCGTAAGCGATGTTGACTTCTGCAGAGTTCTTAGATACAGACACCTGAAGAGTTCATTTAGTTTTTACGAGCCCGATTTAATGTATTTCTTCAGCTTCTGCTGTTTGAGGTGGGAGTGGCGCTGGCCTTAAAATTGCTCTGTGGTATTACTATTTTAAAAGTTTAAAGTATTTGGCCAGAAGGTAACTAGAAGAATACACGACTGGAGAAACCAAAATAGTAGCATATGAACAGAGGCTTTAAAAGCATAGCTGCTTCTTAGTGATTGACCGGCTGGTGCAGTGAAGCACCAGATTGATGTGTTTGAAATACAAGAGGGGGCTTCAACGCCCGTCAGGCTACAGATGGCTTTAGCAGAGAAGTTCCATGGTGCAGAGTCTTGCTTGGAGGATGCAGAACATTATGTAATCTGACTTAATCACACAGCTGTCTGGCTGGGCTCTTTAGAGGGTTGGCTTGTTCTTTAAGTGAGAAGGAATGGCTAGATTTTTCATGTGTTTGCTGTATTCCCTTTCACTTCTCAACTTTGCTATTAGGTTTTGGGTATACAAAGTAAGCAGGAGGTCTCTATATATGCAAGTTAAACTTTATAATATTGCTAGAATTTATAAGCATAGTAAAGCAGTTTATTTGTTTAAAAGCAGACTAGCCAAAATGAAGGTTTGAACCTATCAGACTTCTCTGGTTTTATGTAGGTCACTTTGCTCTTTGAAAACTGCCTCAAAAAGTTGCTTCACCATATTTCTTGGTATGGCTTTTTCGTTATTGAATAGATGTCCTTTGTGTTCTTTTCCAGACTTCCTGTGTATTCTTTCTTAATAATTACTTTAATCCTTTTATGTAATACTTAATCAGACACTGATTTTTATCTTTGTTTCCCCCCACTAAATATTCTGTTACTTTTGCTGTTGAAGTAGTTGGAGGATATTCATACCCTTCTATTCCATTTTTAGTGTAATGCAGGTGTTGAAATAAATATGGGTACTTCAGTAACGGCTTGAACTCAAGTTTTCATTGCTTTGTGTTCAGCGAAAGGGTGAGTGTCTTTTATTCCTTAGTTTCTTAATTCAGCAGTATATAATGAAACATTATGATTAAAACCCAAAACAAAACCAACAAAAAAAGAACAAAACCAAACGAAAAACCCCAACAATTTGAATACTGTGCTTTTGTTACAGTTAGAGCACCACTAAACTTTACAAACCAGGAGCTATATTTACAAGTCTGACTTTGCTCTTTTGAATAGTTCCTATGAAATAAGTAATTTAATTTCGATTTACAATTAGAATAATTTATATTTAATGTAAATACAAGATTTCTAGATAAATGTTTTCAAGGGCTGGCTTTTGAGGCTAATACATAGTGAAGTACTTGAAGATGTGAATAGTGGGAGCCACTTTCTTGTTGTGATTTGCAGAAGGAGGAAGACAGGAATAATTGCTTACATGAAAGAGCTACATTTGTGTTATCCTAAGAATCACAAAATAAATATTTGAGGTGTTCATTCAGGTTATATAGACTTCCCCCTCTTCTGTCAGCCTTAATGAAAAGGTTAATTGCTGAAGAATGAATTGAAATTACTGCCTGTGGATGCATTTATCATTTTCTATGTTACTTTTTTATTCACAAGAGAGTTAGAGATAAATTTGATAAAGTAATCTGGCCTTCCTTTTAAAAGCTATCCCAGAGTGGGTGGGTGATAACACTTGCGTTCTGTTTTATTTTTTAGCTTTTCTTTGTGTAATAGTAGAAGTTCCACTTTTCCACAGTTTCTTCCAGAGAATTTTCCCATTTAAAATTAAAGTACATTTTCCATAGAAATTAAAGGATAGATGTATATATTATATATTTTTGTGTGTATGTGTGTTTTGGTGTTTTTCATTTTTGGGGTTGTTTTGTTTGTTTATTTGTTTTTTTGTTACCAATTTTGCCAGCATTAGGAACTGTGTTTGCAATGCAAAACAGCGCTGGCTGCTTTATTAGTACTGAAATGATAAATAGAAGGTGAAATAGTTATGTTGTTGGGATGTGTTGATCTCTGTGATGCTACTGTAATGAGCACAGAGATTTACATCGTACATGCTCAGAAGGTGTTAAGACTATAACTTAAGTATTCACAAGATATCTTAGGCAAATTTAAAGTTACTCCTCTGTACTTGTGGAACTGTATCATTAAGGTAATTTGTGGTCAGTATTGTTTTTGCCAGGCTTCAGTAGGAGTCCAGCTAAATCAAGCCCATTTGTTATTAGAGTGCTTTTTAATGCAATTCACTTTATGATACCTTGCTCACTTTCCATAAGTTATATTTTGGACTAAATAAAATAATCAATCTCTTAAGACTGTTGATCGCCAGAACTTTTACCAAGATTAGGTGATGCTAAATGAAGAGGGTTTCGTGACTTTTTACTGGAATAATTTTTGGCAGGATGAATCGTTAGCAAATCATGGTATGTTTTTTTCTAACATTAAGAACATTAAAAAAAAAAAACAACACTTTTGGGGGTAACATTCATTTTAATCCCTCATTGAACAGTATACTTTTTGAGGAAAGATTATGCCTGTTTAGTTGAAGTGAAATTATGACATCTGGTGGATAACTACTACGCTGAAATGCTGATTCAGTTGAGCTTTTAAACAGTGATACCTGAATTACTGTATACACTTTGGGGACTCTCGCATCCTGGTTCCATTACCGATCTGGAGGTTAAGAACACACTCGTGTGAATTCAGTGAATGACAAACCAGCTCCAGCATAATGGAAACGTTGTTTGCGTTTAGTTGAAGATATTCTCCTGAGGAAGTTCAATAGGTGTTTTGTGTTAGACTTGTTCAATTAACGATACTAGAGATCTGCTGTTTTTCTTGGGTCTTCTGAGAGAAGAAAGTAGCAAGTATTTGTTTTAAAGAAACGGGATGTTGCTAGCTGTGATTTAGATGGAGAATGACTCTGGAATCAGGATCTGCAATTTCAGTAGACAGTTTCCACTGAATTAAATGGACATTATGTGAAGTCTGCATTACTGTGTAGCATAGGGAAGAAATAATACTTAAGTCATGGTCTTCAGCATAAGTCATTTGCCACATGTGGCAACAGCCCATTTTTAGCACATTTAAGCTATCCTGGGGGCACAGTACCACCTCAGCTGATTAACTGTGGTTACTGCAGTACTGCCCTGTGTGTGAATTCCACAGGCCAGTTTCCAGTCTTCTGAAATTACTTTGACAAATAGCAAACAATTTCTCAGTGAGATAATGTTTGTAGTGTTGCTGGGTTGTTTATAGTTATAAATAATGCAAACTCCTGTTTTAGTTTTAGTTTTTTCTGACAAGTGAATCGGGAAGCAAGTAAGAAATCCTGCAGCTATTGTTATATGCTGGAATAGAACGCAATCTGTTGTTCCTGGGCAGAACAGGCTATTTATACCTCACTTCTGGAGGTACATATTTTTCCAAATTGTTTGCATAAAATAATATTCCCCCTCTTCCCCTCGAATAAATTGTAGTATCTAGCTTTAGCCTTCAGCTTTTCTGAAAGGTGGGAAATTTACTTGGAACAGATGGGTTTAATCGTTTCTGATAGAAATAGAAGTGTGGTTGAATAGTAGGTCTTGCAGAAAAAGCCTGTTGAGGCATCAAAGCAGTTTTTATGTGAATGTGAACTTTCTTAGTAGAGGTGAAAGAAGTGTCTCCTTTGGTGCCCACAGCTGTAAGAGAAATAAAGAAGGAAAAATAGATTGTTTCCTGTGCATAAGGTAGACCAAGCCTTTTGTCAATCCTTAGACCTCTTCCACTTGTCCTGACTTGTACATTAAAATTAAACTTGAATCTCGCCTGAAAGGGATCAGGTGAGCTATTTCAAATTTGAATAACTACTTGTGATGATTACATAAATACATGAGGTTGTTGTTTCTTTAGCTGGCAGAAATATGGTCATTTAGGTCTTAAT